AGTACCCTATGTGTAAAATGATATACTGTGCTGTATCTTTAATGCTGTGGGCCTAATTTTCTGCCAGAGGTCCTGGACATCTTGTTCAGATACACGGCATCATGGATTCGATCAAATGGCTTTAAATCAAAACCTGACAGCCTGTGCTAGAAATCTTTTAATGGGCCATGTTCGGATCTTCCAACAGGACAGTGATCCAAAAACAAACATCAAAATCAAAACAAAAGTGGGTCACTGAGCACAAAACCAAGCATCTGCAAAGGCCATCCCAGCCCCTGACCTGAACCCTGTAGAAAATGAGTGGGCTGAACTGAAGAGAAGCAGTGCCAACATGGATCTGGGAATCTGAAGGATCTGGAGAGATTCTGTATGAAGGAATGGTCTCTGATCTCTTGTCAGGTGTTCTCCAAACTCATCAGGCATTATAGGAGAAGACTCAAAGCTGTTATCTTGGAAAAAGGAGGTTGCAAAAATATTTAATAAAAGGGTGCAAATAATTATTCCCAATGTGTTTTGGAAAAAATCATTTATTTCATAATGTGATTTCCCCCCCACTTTCAATTCTTTTACTTCAATGAAAGGTTCGATTTTTGCTTTAAAAAAAAAAACATATATATATATATATATATATATATATATATATATATATATATATATATATATATATATATATATATATATATATATATATCAAAAGGATTAATGCAGATTTATTTATATATATATATATATATATATATATATATATATATATATATGTGTGTGTGTGTGTGTGTGTGTGTGTGTGTGTGTGTGTGTGTGTGTGTGTGTGTGTGTGTGTGTGTGTGTGTGTGTGTGTGTGTGTGTGTGTAAAATTAGAAATAAATCTTAAATATAAATTACATATATATATATATATATATAATTTATATTTAAGATTTATTTCTAATTTTACACACACACATTTTTATTTTTGTGACATTTTTATCACATTTTTTTTTTTTTTTTTTTTTTCACACATCTAATTTTTGTGTGTAAAATTAGAAATAAATCTTAAATATAAATTACATATATATATATATATATATATATATATATGTAATTTATATTTAAGATTTATTTCTAATTTTACACACACACACATATATATATATATATACACTCACCGGCCACTTTATTAGGTACCCCATGCTAGTAACGGGTTGGACCCCCTTTTGCCTTCAGAACTGCCTCAATTCTTCGTGGCATAGATTCAACAAGGTGCTGGAAGCATTCCTCAGGGAGTTTGGTCCATATTGACATGATGGCATCAAGTCAAGTCACATTTATTTATATAGCGCTTTTCACAATACAGATTGCATCAAAGCAGCTTCACAGTGATCAAAGCATCACACAGTTGCCGCAGATTTGTCGGCTGCACATCCATGATGCGAATCTCCCGTTCCACCACATCCCAAAGATGCTCTATTGGGTTGAGATCTGGTGACTGTGGAGGCCATTTTAGTACAGTGAACTCATTGTCATGTTCAAGAAACCAATTTGAAATGATTAGAGCTTTGTGACATGGTGGAAGTAGCCATCAGAGGATGGGTACATGGTGGCCATAAAGGGATGGACATGGTCAGAAACAATGCTCAGGTAGGCCGTGGCATTTAAACGATGCCCAATTGGCACTAAGGGGCCTAAAGTGTGCCAGGAAAACATCCCCCACACCATTACACCACCACCACCAGCCTGCACAGTGGTAACAAGGCATGATGGTTCCATGTTCTCATTCTGTTTACGCCAAATTCTGACTCTAACATCTGAATGTCTCAACAGAAATCGAGACTCATCAGACCAGGCAACATTTTTCCAGTCTTCAACTGTTCAATTTTGGTGAGCTCTTGCAAATTGTAGCCTCTTTTTCCTATTTGTAGTGGAGATGAGTGGTACCCGGTGGAGTCTTCTGCTGTTGTAGCCCATCCGCCTCAAGGTTGTGCGTGTTGTGGCTTCACAAATGCTTTGCTGCATACCTCGGTTGTAACGAGTGGTTATTTCAGACACTGTTGCCCTTCTATCAGCTCGAACCAGTCTGGCCATTCTCCTCTGACATCAACAAGGCATTTCCGCCCACAGAACTGCCGCTCACTGGATGTTTTTTCTTTTTCGGACCATTCTCTGTAAACCCTAGAGATGGTTGTGCGTGAAAATCCCAGTAGATTAGCAGTTTCTGAAATACTCAGACCAGCCCTTCTGGCACCAACAATCATGCCACGTTCAAAGTCACTCAAATCAACTTTCTTCCCCATACTGATGCTAGGTTTGAACTGCAGGAGATTGTCTTGACCATGTCTACATGCCTAAATGCACTGAGTTGCCGCCATGTGATTGGCTGCTTAGAAATTAAGTGTTAACGAGCAGTTGGACAGGTGTACCTAATAAAGTGGCCGGTGAGTGTATATATATATATATATATATATATATATATAATATATATATAATAATGTAAATTTGTGTATAACATGTATGCATATATATACAGTATATAAAGGGAATGCATACACAGGGATGTGTATCAAGCAAGTGAACCCAACAGATCGCACACTGGTTTGAATTCAATCCTACTTTCGAACTGAGTTTCCCATGACCCCTCTCTCTCCCCTGATTATCACCTGTGTCTCTCCACTGTCCTGTCATATCCAGCCATTAAAAGCCCATAAAAACCAGAAAATTCTTTTACAAAATAAAAGATTGCCTTTCTTTGAAATGCCTTCAACTGTGAACATTCTATGAAGATGCATTAGGATGCTTCTGCACATTAGATGAATACACTTACATTAGCACATACAGTCTGAAAAGGGTCTGCGACACGAATTACAGGCACACCGCGGCACCACGGGTGCCTCGAGCCAAAGTGAACAATAGCGTGGAAGCGAACAGCATTAGCGATGTGGAGTAACGATGTAGGTGACCCACATGGAAGAAGGTAAGGGCCTTCGCTAGAGGTGTTAGGAGCACTTGTGCTAAGTGCAGATATGGTGGAAAGCTATATTTACTGACAGGAACTGAAAACCATTTGTCCTGTAGCTGTGTTATTAGCTGCTCCTTGTTATAAAATGGTAAATGCTCGGCCGCTCCATTTAGAGCATTTGTCAGAGCACTTCACTCCAGTTCTACAGCAGTTTAAACAAGGAAACACACCCTAGATACTCAAGCTAATAGGAAAAGCTTTGATAAACACTGAAGTATGTTTCTGTTCTCTGCCATGTGCCGCCCACTCATTTTGCATTGTCCTCGCCAGCGGTGCCTGACTGCATAAAGACAACTGTTGGGTAGTATGTCAGTTGAAGGATAACTCATCCAATCAGATTCTCTGACAGGCTGTCTTTGTCAGGATGTCTGCAGTGACTTCCTGCTTGTCTACGATTGAAGAGCTCGGGTGGACAGACATCCATCACACACCAGGACATCCGGGAGCTCGACCCTGATACTTATAGGTGTATGAAACAGGGGCGGGTTGGATCATATTATGTCATTTTATATATTACGGCCATTGTCTATTACCAAAACATCAATAAATTATCAACATACAGTGAATCAAATACTTAAATGAAATCTATTTAATTATTATTTTGCATGGAAAGTAATGAATGCAAATCAAAAGATGCACAATAATTCTGGCATCAGTGTAAATGCTTAATGTTATATATCTCAACTACAAATCAAAATCAATTCTTATTGGATGAGTTATGTCTGAAGCTGCTAAAAATTACACAACCTTCTTGAATATATGACGCACATGTATTATAGTGGGAACTGCAAACGACTAAACTCCTCGTCTTGACTTAGCAAATTGATCTACTAGAGTGGTACACTATAAACAATACATAAACATCTTTCCTCATTGACATTTCGACCGCCGCATGGTATAGTCAAATCACCCAGCACTAGTATGAAATAAAACTAGAGTTCATCTACACAAACATAGTACAAACACGTCTGCCTTTAGATGTACTTATGATCAAAACCTGTCTTTGATTATGAAATAGCATGCATGAATACATACGTATATATGAATATATCACAATGTCTAACTTAGACTATTGTTGTAATCCACAAATTTTCACACATCACACATTTTCGTTAATTGAAATAAAGCTAAAATAAAATAAATATCAGATGAAAAACAAACTTCAAAGTGACTGAAATAAAATGAACTTAAGTACTAAAATGACTATAACTGAATTAAAAATGAATTAAGGCTAAACAGAACAATAAACAAATAAATAAAATGACAAAAGCAAAAATTACTTTGATGAAAACTTTAACTGAAAATATAAAAATAAAAAATAAAATCAAAATACTAACAAATACTTTACAAGTATGCAAATAATACTAAAATAACACTGCTGGTTAATAAGTAGTATCCAATTTATGATGTAGGTAACCATAATAATACAATATATGGTCACCAGAAATTCACCGCCAAGAAAATTAGTTAAAATATTTAAACACATTTAAAAAAAAAAAGCTGCATATTTTTTTAATTTAAAGCCTCATGACTTTAATTGGAAGTGCTTTACTGTAAACAAAACGTTATGTGGTGATTGGCTTTACATATTGCAATAGAGCATTCATTTTATGGATCTTAATTAATGGGTCATTTAACACTCCTTAAATTAATTGACATTTCTGAGACCATGCAAGCTAGGCTGAAATATGGCAAAAAATATTACAAAACAGGAATAACAGCATAAAAAGATTGACTGCAAAGAAAGCAGCATTTACACTTAGTCGGAAAATCGCTCCTGCAGAAAATGGTTTCTGCAACAAAATAATCCCACCAGACTAATGGATGTTTACTCATTATCATATCTTGAGGACCGGGTGCACAGGTGACAGAGAGCCGCTGCTGGGTTTGAGGATTCAGGTACAGCGCTTGCGAGTTAATAAGACATATGCAGTGGAGAGATCTGACCTGCTTGGCTGAAGAAAGCCTCAGGAGTTCATGTGGAAATGTTTGTTTGTGCGTCACTGACCTCTTTAGGTTGAGGAGAGCCCAGGGGACGCCAGTCGGGGTCTTAAAAGCCGGCAACAGCTTCTCTCCTAGTTCAACAGCTTTTTTCCTGAACACCTGGAGTGAAAGAAAGACAGACAGACAAAGAGGTTAGTCTAACCTCATCTACACAGAGCAACAGCAGAGCCGTGTAACCTCTGGCTGCCCCTGCCTTCCCATAAACTCACCATATTTATTTTATCAGTCATATTTGCATGATTCACAGAGTCAGCTGACAGAAAGAGAGGCATTGATATTCTGCTGAGGGCTGGATTGGGGAGACGGCTGATAACAGCAGATAAGATGAGGGCACGCGTCCCGCTGTAACCTGCTGCCTGCCTGTCATCTTCTGTCTGCTATCGGGCCCTTCATTCTACTCCTCTGACATTTCAAACCATCAGGGGCTGCTACAATCCCTCCACCAGCAAATTGTATGTGTAAATTGTATCAGAATTGTAGGTTTAAACTATCGTTCAAAAATGTGTGTTTTTTTTCTTTTAAAGAAACTAATACTTTTATTCAGCACGGACACATTATTTTGATCAAAAGTCACAGTAAAGACATTTATTCTCCATAAAAAGATTGCGCAGCCGAACGGTTTGCAACATTGATAAGAATAAGAAATGTTTCTTGAGCAGCAAATCAGAGTATTAGAATGATTTCTGAAGGATCATGTGACACTGAAGACTGGAGTAATGATGCTGAAAATTCAGCTTTGCCATCACAGGAATAAATGATGTTTTAAAATTAAAACAGAAAAATGGTCCAATTATTGCTTAAATTTTTACAGATTTTTTTAGTAGCTATGGCGTGCCCACATATGATTAGCTATTTCTAACAACATATTTGTGTCAGAAAAATATACATTTGTATTCTTTATCAAAAGTTGTGTATAAAAAATAAGCACATAAAATAAACTATAAATTAATGACTTTGGACCACAAACAATTGCACATGGTATGAAAAATGATCAATTTATTTATATTCCTTAACTATTTTTTACAGCAAGACTACCACTAATAATTCTCAAAATTTCAATAAAACCTTTGATAAAACGTTAACAAGCTAGACAACATTATATCGTCAATACAGAATGTACAACAGTATGTTCGAGCTGTAGTTTTCTTTTGTCATTAAAAAACATGTTTATGATCAACAAACATAAGGTACAGTCACAACGCAGCACTAGCCTGTACCTTAAGATCCTAATAAATATTAGTCAAGGTTTCTTGCATCAAAAAGTTAGTTATGCATCCGTTTTGAGCTTCTTTCTGACTCCTGCAGGCAATTTGTTTTAAACTGCACCTTTACGACTTTTATATTTAAATGACCAGCTTTCCATGATATGTCCCATTTAAGCAAATATGTACGGCATTTGTTGCAGGGGTTAGCTCTTTTGAAGGGTTACTTTGGCGAAGGATGCAGCTCTGTGTCAGAGAGGCGGATTTACTCGTCCCTCTTGTAATTCATCCTGTGAGTCAGAAAGCCCACAAATCAAAGGTCCCATGAGCACGGACAGATCGCTGCGTGAGAGCCTTCCACAACACGAGAGAGGAGAGGAGGCACAGACAGAAATTAAACTGCAATTCAACGACTTGCCAACATTTATTGGGGAATAAAAGCACTGCACTAGTGTCAACCAGTTAAACAATAATAATCATACAATTGAAATGAAATCAACTGTAACACTGAAGAATGTTAGAGTCAGTTTCATATCTGATCATAAATCCCACTATACTGAGCTCAGCTTTAAACGAGGACGTCTTTACCTCCAATTCGTCTGCCATTCGGTATGCATATCAAGGATGATGTCAACAGGTCGAAGCGTTTTCCCCAGCGCCTCCCCGGCCTAGATGAAGTGTGTGTGCTCGCCCTTGCTACATCAAACACAAGGTCAGCGTCAACTGTTATCCTGTCCGTGTGAATTCACTTAACAGGTTGTCTGGTTGGATGTCACCAACAAGTCCCGCCACCTCCACCACATCCAATAATGCTTTTAGGAGAATGTTTACAGAACATTTGGAAGTGAGCCTTGAACTGTCACGTACAGCCAGCATAATTTCTATTCCAAATAACTGCTAACAGAAACAGCCAGAAACTCCGTCAAAACTGCTTCTGGGATATTAGCGGCTGGCTTGAGTGCTAGTGTGACCTTGCTCATCGTTTCTTTAATTACATGCATAAATAAATGCACATATATTTAGCTAACATATGCAGGTGTGCATTATCACCTCTGTGATTGCATTCACTTTCAACAATGGAGCTTTGATCGGCTGTGCCATGACTCAGAGAAAGCAAAATTCGAACAGAGCGGCTCTGCTAGACATTTTCAAATAGACTGATGACAATGTTTAATATATCAAAAACAGACAGCCTATAATATAAATGAGAACTGATGGCCATAGCATGCAGATATTCATGTGGTCAATTTATCAGTGGAGTACAGAGTTTACTGATTAAATTAATTTAACAAATTACAAAATTAAGCATGATTAAGTGGTACTTGTCTGTGCAAAACTTTTTACCATGATGCCTTAGTAATAAAAAAAGTAATTTTTTAAAAGGCATAGTTCACCCAAGATTGAAAATCTTGCCATCATTTCCTCACCCTCATGTTGTTCAAAACCAGCATGAGTTTCTTTCTTCTGTTGAACACGAAAGAAGATATTTTGAAGAATGTCGGTAACCAGTTGACGGTAGCCATTGACTTCCATAGTATTTTTTCCTACTATGGAAATCAATGGCTACCGTCAACTGTTTATAATAATAATAATAATAATTATTATTATTATTATTGTAGATTATATAGTGTAAAAGTAATGCTGATGAGAAATAAAACGAGGTTAAGCAGACTCATAACTTGAAGCTCGGTTAAAAACATCTTGTGACACTTCAAGGTTGTGTAAGTGCGAGTGCGTATGAACATGTACAAGACAAAGCAACTGTTGGTCAAGTGCTAGATGTCCACTAAATAAGATAAATTGCCTTGACAGTGGATTGTGACCGGAGAACCTCACAAGCCTTTACCTAGATTACTGTTAGGACTACAGGGACAGGAGCACACAGCTGCAGAGAGCCATCTGACCCTTTCAAAGCTCTCTGGATCAGTCTGATCCAGGTATGGAGAAGAGCGGACAAAAAGGTTCAAGAAAAAAACAATGAAAGCAAAGCCCTAAAGCTCAAGACAGCTTCGACAAAAGCTGACATTTACGCCACCGTGAGGACCACAGCTCACGCAAAAGGGAGACCAGAAAGTGTATTTTGGAGAAATGAAACACGGCTAAACTAACAGCAAAGGTGCTGCATGCAAATTTGGAATTAATTTCAACTTCAAATCAGGTCACACGAATGAAGGTCTTTTGAAAAATGCTAATTAATTCTATCATTAACTTTAGTATAGCTTTGCACAAACAAGGACAGAAATGTCAAGACGAATGTACCATTCCAATAAATGTTATTACTACCAAACAAAAATAAAGTTTCGATATTTCATTAAACAGAGTAAATGTTCCACATGGATACTTTTGGAAACCAGATTTAGATCTACAGGATTAATTGCTGTGAAAGAAAATCTATTATCAGATCAATCCGAGGTAAACCGGGCAGACAAAACAAGGTCAACATTACCAAATTAAAATCCCAGAAGCAGTAGCCCAGTTGAACTCCATTTACCAAATTAAAGGTGTTTAATTCATTTTTTAAACACACCATGTTTAATGGTTATTAACCATCCATGGTGGGGTTTTCTAAGATGTTTGTTAAGAATCATTATTACTATTGCTCATACTTAGTTTTAGTGATATGAACCAGTGGCCAGCCATCATTAAATGTTGAACTTTGGCTTTGTTTGTGCTATGATACCACAACTCTTACTGTACTCTTACTTTTTTTTTAAATATCATTAAATATCATTGCAGCAATTGGGCAATAATTAAAATATATATTTAAATAAATCAATCAATTAAATCAATTAAAATAAAATAAGCTTTTGTGAAATGTTCAAATTGGCCAAGAGAACGGTTCAAGCTCATCGAAGAAGAGAACAGAAGGTATGATATTTCTTTGATTACTGGTAGTGGTTACCAACATTCCCCTGATATAACATCAGAAAGAATAACGAACAAAGTGCGTAGGTTCAGTAAGGGATTGTTGTCAAAGTTGCATTAAATTATTGAACAACAACTATGAGCTATGTTCTTACGACACTGTTTAAATTGGCACGGAAACCATTAATGCCATAAGCTACATAACAGAGCTCAACAGAAAGCAGCCGGATGCTAAATAATAGTTTGAAAGCATCACTTTTGATGCGGTTTCCGGCTGTTTCTGTTTCCAGTTATTTCGAATAGAAAGGATGCGTGCTGAACGTGTGACTATGAGGGACAGAGATGATTCTGAGAGAGAAGGAGAATGCATTCCATTCAGAAATTATCACCCAAAACTTTTCTTCTTTACCAACCAATGTCAGAGCTTTAGAGCCCTGAAAAGAGTGGGGCTCAAATATAATTGTCATTTAAAACTCATTTATAGAGTTTTTTTTATTTATTATTATTTAAATTTTAGGTTGTTTGGGATGTAGGAATTGTGTGTGCGTGTGTGTGTGTGTGTGTGCGCGCACGTGTGAGAGAGAAAGTCTGGTGCTCAGTCATACTATATAGTATAGATTCATGAAAAAATTGTAATTGTGTAAGTTTAGCTACAGGAGTACACACACGAAAACACAGAGCGAGATTTCATTCATTTCAAATCATAAAACCAAGTTGAAAAATTTATGAAATGAGTGAATTCTCTGCAAACTTGTGCTACATGGCATGAAACATCGATTTCCAGTAAGGTCTGAAGTGAAGAACTACACTTGATATCTTTCAGGCCTAACAGCATGTGCGATTGCTCTATCTCTACATTAATAATTAAAAGCTCTTAATTAATTGAAACAAGACTAAGAAGCTTAAAAAGCAAAAGCAAAATAGTTGTTCGACATGGCACTACAGTGCTAAATGGCTGTCACCACTGACACAGACAGCAGAAAGCATCATTTGACATCACTTAGGGTCTGGTACAGTAGATCATGTCATCAA